ATCTGTCTAATGAGCTGCTCAGTGGGCTTTTCAGGAACTCTGTCAATAACTTCTCACTCTCCCCACTCAGGCCCTGATCAAGCAGGGTTTAGGTACTGAGTGCTGCCAGGATTTTGTAAAGACTTGATTAAGCTCCTTAAAACTATTTTTCTTCTCTTGCTCACAGCTGAAAAATGAGTGGCAATTACCCAGGGAGGGCTTCCCTTGCTAATTAGATCTTGTTAAGTGATTGGTTTGCCTCCCATTCTGCTGCAGACTTCTGTATTTTCCTTTGGTGGTGGAAAGCCAATTGGAGAAAAAGAAACAGCCAGCAACTCTTATGTGACCATAAGCAGATGCAGGTCTAGGAGTAGCAGGGTGAGTGGAAAATAGAAAACGCATAAGCAGAAGAAGGAGCACTGAATGGGACGTGCGGACAGGCACCATTTCTTACTCAGAAAATAGGTTCAAAAATTGGATGTTGTGGGAGGGTTCAGAGTCTCCCTGCTTCAACATATGTCAGTCCTGCAGTGGCCAGTCGAGGCCAACTTCCCTGGTTAAATAATCCTGCACGCACAGGGGGCTCCGTACTGCCTTCTGAAGTAACTGTACCCATAGAAATACCTCCGTGTCATGACACTCAAATTTAAGTTTTCTGCGGAAATCTGACAACTCCCCTGGTTGAGTTTTGCATGTGTCAGCTGGGCAGAGCATGGAGCCAAGTGGCAGCCACTTGTTGAATAGGGCCCAAGCTAGCTCCCTGCTTTTACTGTGCATGTGGCCGTAGGACACTGCCCCAAGCACCCAGCAGTAACTTTAAATCATCCTAACAATGTGCACCCTGCTGCATGATGGCTTCACACCTGAACATTTACCAGATCGTTAAACCCACAATGTTACTATTCTAATTATGTCTTTTCACTGCAGGCCTGCTCAGTACGCTGAACAGAACTGGGCTGGGGTTAATAAGAGGCCCCAGTTTAGAGTCCTAATCCAAAAGGAAGAACCATCCTAATTACAGCCACCAACACCTGCAGGTATATTCATGCCCCCTGTTACATGTACTGTTTAAGGTTACTGAGATTTTGTTTTCATAATGTATGGGCAAAACTTACTGCAAGGGACACCTGGGAAGTGGCAGCTGCACATCTCATCTACCCATGAGGAATGGAAGTGTTACAGCACTTTCCATTCATCTATGCTCTTCGCCAGCTGTTTCTGTAGTACCTCTGCACCTGGCCTGTTCCCAGCACAGTCCTTGCCGCAGCAGGGACAAGGGGCAATGTCTAGCCCCTTCCTTTGCTGTTTTTTCTCTGCCTTCAGAAGTGTCTTGAAAAGTTGCTTTTCATGCCAATAAGGAAAGCAATACTTGAGCGTTGGGGGATGCAGAGAATAGATTATGTTGCACTGACCTTGTGCTAGAGAGCTAGAAACCCGTGTCAGTGGTTGGCATGTTGGGTACACACAGACTCTGGGTGGCAACACACAGAAGCATGGATGCCATTTGTGTGCACAGTGTCACAGTAATTTGGATCTGCTTAAAACCTGGCTGGATTACACATTTAGGTAGTAGTGTGCTGAGTTCCCTGCTAATGTACGTCTCGGTTTGTGTTTACTGGAGTTTTATTACTTGTTCTCCTTCACTTGCTTCCCCATAACATAAACAGTCTCTCCAGTAGGGTATGCTTTTTGGAAACCACCGTGAAATCAGCTTTGACTCCTGTACTTGGGCATTAGCACCTGCTGACAGCCAGGGGCAGGAGAAGAGGACAAAAGGTAGAGCACAGAGATAAAAAAGCTGGGGAAGGATTTTTCTTTTCCAAGTGAATTAGACACACAGCCCAAGAGGTTACCAAAGGCATGGAGGCTTTTTTTTTTTTTTAAAACAGCATTTTTACACCAAATTTCACCAAAACTTGGGTCAGAGCATGAAAGAAAAGTGCTTCTCTCTGGGATGTTAGCTTCAACTGCAGAAGACCCAAAGTCAACTCTCTCTTTTGGGCAAGATCTTGCAAGATCCAACCTAACTCATCAGGCATGCAGCAGTGACCTTTACTAGCTTTTATTGAACAAGAATGACTCTCTGAAAGGATTGAGGCTCATCACAACAGGCGAGCTCTGTGCAAACACAGGTAGGTCTGCTACTGAACTTTGCAGAGGCTCCCGCTGGAGAGACAAACACACATGTGAGTGAGGAGCATCCCAGTACTGTAACCCCTTCTTGCATGCACTGAAAGCACGCAAAAGCTGCAGCTTGCACCCTAGCATGCCTTTTGGATGCAAAGACTGATTATGAGGAGAAGACTTCTGTGTTAGACTGACATACGGTCATGTCAGCTACTCTGGGAAAGATGCTAAGGAAAAGCTTCCATCAGCACCATCAGACCAAGGGCTGGGTAAAGGATCCTTCAAGCAGAAGATTAACTGCACATTGCAGATGCTGCTTGTGGGGTTGATCTTTGCCAGTATCCAACCAGATCCCTAAAGAACAACCTCATTAAAAAAGCCCAGGCTGTAGAGCCTGACATAGACTCTGTGCTGTATTGTAGAGTAGGGTTTCTGTCTGCAAACAAAGGTCTTTCAAATGTGTCTTTCAGATCAAGACACATGCACGGTAAGTGGCTTTTGTGTCAATGAGACTGGATGAAAACTTGGCACAGATTTCACACCCTGTGTTTCAACTTCCTCTTGCACAAACCATCTCCGGGTCCTGACCACAGATTTTTAGTATTCCACGTACTGCATTACACAACAAAATGCTCCCTATGGAGGAGTTGCTGCAGTGGAAGGCAAACACAGTAACGAGAGATATGTGAACTTAGCACCTCATTTTCTTTGCATGAGGATTCAAAGGCATAATTTCTGTGACAGTTTCTCCTTTAATAGAATAATAATTAAAAAACTGCACTTGAAAAAAACAGTTTCTCTTTTCCCTTTTAAGGGAAGAAAATCCTTTCCAGCTCAGGTTAAAAGCAAGACTGTGTGAGAGGGACTACTGGACTACGTCTCTTGGAAACAGAGGTAGTGGAGTTACTGCCCTCTCAGACAATCCAGTTAACTGCTCTTTCAAGGTTAAGTTACGTGTATTCATCTTACAACCCCTTGAGAACTCATTCTAGGACTTGTCGCAGATGCTCATACGTATCTCTACCGAAAAGGAATCCAGACACATACTGTGAATTAGTGCAGAACAGGAGGAGAGACAGTTATTGATGAATAAGAGACAAAAGCTCCTGTCTCACCTTCAAGAAATGAGTTTGCCTACCCAAGGGCAGGTAGGCCACCGCTGCTGTTACTGTATAAGAAGATAAATGGTGACAATGAGAACACCAGTCCTAGAAGTCAAGGATCCTGGTGAAGGATACAACACTGTTGTACAAATATACAAGAAATGTGAGGTAGCATTTTTGCTGCTTGTGGCTCACTTTTCTTAGTAGTTTCATGTCACAAAATCTGAGAGAGGCTGGTGTCAGTGGTAGACACAGGCAGAGTCTAAGACAAAAATGTAGAGGCTGGCAAAAGTTGAGTTGAAAAGATAAAAAAAATGGGGAGTAAAAATACGCACTCAGAACCTGACTTACTACATCTATCTTGCCTTTGCTCCTACCACTGTAAAAGAGTAAAAAGAAAATCTATTAGAGCTCTGACTGATACCACCGAAGCTTTTGCTGATTAGTGCTTCCATCTCCACTGACCATATGAGTTAAAGAAGAAAAATGCAGAAACCTCAGCCATGTAACACCAACACTCACAATTCCATTGCAACAACCCAAATTCTGTGATGACAGGCAGAGAAATTCAGAACATTCAACTAATTACAAGGCAGTGGTAATTATTGGTATAAAACCAGTGTTAAAGGCAGATGAAAAGTGCCGGTGTAATTTTTTTCTGCAGTTACAAAGCTCAGAAATGTCAAGTCAAAACTTCATTTTAAAATACAATTCCAATCCTTTTAGATATAGTACTTGAGTCTAATGACATGCTGGAACACTGACTGAGGAGAGCTTTCTTTAAGGAAACCTATCTGTTTTTATGCATCTTGTTTCTTCCCTTGGCAATTAAGAAAGGCTAGGCAGAAATGGCTTACATCAAAGATAATTTTACAGTATCTAAAATAAGAAATTATGACATACAGTGTGGTTAGGACAAGTACAGACCACGGGGAGGATACTAACCACAAAAAGAGAAAAAGGATAGCACCATAGAAGGATAAGGAATACTTCTAGACACAGCCCTAACTTAGGAGAAAAGATGCTGTTTCTGTTAAGAAAGCACAGACCTCATGTGAGGGTCAGAAGTTGAATACTGCAGTTTTCCTTGTCACTGAAATAGTGGAAAGCACCACTTGTAATTAACCACACCAAAGCCTATGAGTAAGCAAGAGCAGTTTAACAGTAATTAAGGAGCCAAGGATGGTTGGAACAGTAAAATTTAATTCCATGGGGAGTTGTGTATCACACTCTTTGAAAAGGAAACACACTGTAGAAGGAATTACTTCATTGAGTACAGCAGGTGTGAGGAACTACCTACCAAACCTCTTCTGGCCCCTCACTACCTGAGAACACAGAAAGAAGTACCCTTTGTCAAAGTGCTGCTCTATTATTCCCTACATCCCAAAACTCTGCTCTCAAGTCCTCTAGCACTGCACTCCACAGGGACCGAAGAGCCAGAGAAAAATAAAGAAAGCATTTCCCATATGAATATAAGTTGCCGATACAGCTGCCGTGAGAGAGACAAGCACAGTATGCATTGCTACTAACTCAAGGACAACAAAACATGCCCACCCCACCAACCACCTCCTAAATCACCTTTTCTCAGGATGTTGCTGTGCAAGGAGCTCCACCCACTGCTGCAGCAGGCTTTCAAAGCAGGCACCCTGGGCAAATAGAAGCAAACATGCACAGCAGCAACCCAACAGCCTGCACCCCTACTTACCAAGCAGGAAACTCGATCTGTTCACTGTTCACAAGGGAACAATTAGAGGGGATCATAGCCATGTTTTTAAATACCTGGAGTGTAAGAGGAAGAAGAAAATGGCCAAGAATATTTCACCTGTCTGTGAGGACAGGACAAGGGGCAATGGCCACAGAATGCAGCACAGGAAGTTCTGTACCACTATGGTGGAAGGTGATGGAATACTGCACCAGGCTGCTCAGCTACCTTCTCTGCAGTTATTTTTGACTTCTATAAATGCCTCCCTATGCCATTTCATCAAGGGAACCTTTTTTGCCAACGGTATTGAATGCGATGGCCTCTCGAGGTCGCTCCCAAGCCCTAGAATTCTGTTATTTCTTTCTTCTGCATACGCTGTTGCAAAGCAAAGGCAAAACAGTTAGAGCTTACAACACAGTTCTCAATCTGGTAACTAAAGGTAAAAGGAAACCCAAGGCAGCTCCTCATAACAACCACCCTAACAAAGACAACCTCAGAGGTTACGGCAAAGGGAGAAGAGGACAAGGCCAACCGAAAGCAGCTTTTCTTACCGTGTTGTACACGCAGAGGACCTTCATGCGGCGCTGCGGCAGGGCTCCAAGGCTGGCACCAAGGGCAAATGAAAGCTGGGCACACACAGCAACGGCCCAAGAGCCTGGACCCCTGCCTTACAGGGGGGCTCCGAGGAGCCATTGACAATTTCAAGTGCCCAGGGAACCAGAGCATCAGCACCCTGAGTTACAGGGCTGCCCTGGGCCCAGAGGCCGCGGGAGGCTCCTTCTCCCCAAAGTGGGGAATCCACAAGCCTGCATCCCACTAACGGGTCAGGCACCCCACAGCTGCCAGCGGAGCAAAAGGCTCCGGACCAAAGCCTGCTTAAGGCGGGTCCGCACCACCCATGGAACCGCAGAGCTCAACCTTTCCCCCGCCAGCGGAGCGAGATGGCTAAATACCGAGGCTCGGGCCCCAAGCCCTGCTTACAGGGAGGGTGAAAACCCGGCCCTGCTTCTAGAGGCCCCAGGCCCATGTAAAGCGGGGGACACGGAGACCCACCTGGCTACTGGGGGCTCCTTGCAGCGAGAGACACGGGGCTACGCTTGACCCTGCTTACAGGGCGGTACCCCATGCACCAGCAGCGCCACAACACTGTGTGGAGCACGAGGCTCCCACCCACGGACCGGCCCGGCCCGCCTGGCTGTGCCACAACTCCACCGCTTCAGGAGCCCTACGGGCAGACTAAGCCCACGCAATACCGACTCCAAGCAGATCCCCGACCACAACAGCAGCACCCCAGCCCGCACCCTCTAGAGGGCCGCGAGGGGGCTGTTCGTTCCTGCTGGCTGACTAGAGCAACTGGCTCCGGCGCCTGCTTACAGGCCGGCCCTGCTCGCGGGGACAGAGGGCTCCGCACCTCGTGACACAGACCCCAACGACGGGGTTGTCACGAGCACTAGTCTCCGGCAGACACACAAGCACACGGGCGCAGACCCAGGCCCTGACTACAGGGTGCCGCCGCCCATCCTACTCTTGTGTCGCTTGAATGCCATAAAAAAAGGGCCAAGCCCGGACTCCGCCGTCCCTATCAAATTCTCTGTGCTCAGGCTGCTGCAAGGCCTCGGTCCCCCCAGGGAAGTGTGGGCTAAGCTGCAGCAATTTCTAGGAGAGCCCTAAGGAAAAACTCAATCGCTCGCTCACACGCACCTGGAGAAGGAGCAAAGAACAGAGAAAAGGGACAGACAACGTCCCTGTGGGGAAGGAGACCAGCGCAGCCAACCACAGGGCAGCAAGACGCCACCCGCGAGCATAAGGCGAGAATCTCAGACCCGCCCAGAAATTACAGTGATGCCAGAGACGTCCAGAAGCCAAAACGGCTTCTGCCGAGACCCAATTGGACAACGCACCCCAGCTACGGGGTGCTGAAACACAGCATGCATCGTAATTTATCATTCATCTCCTTTAGAGAATCTGTTTTCACAGTATTCATAGAGGTCATATTATATATATATCGCTTTTATATTGCTTTTTATGCAATAGTTGGCATATCATAGGCATCAGTCATATACTAAGTTTCCATAGCCCATCACGTTTAGACAAATAGTTTAGACAAAGAGCCAGACGGCTAAAATTAAGGGGGTGGGGAATTGGCTCTGCCCTGACTACAGGGAGGCCCTGGGGTCCGGCAAGCTCCACAGTCCTCCCGGGTGCGGAGAGAGCAGCTGTGCCCCTGATTACAGGGGGCCGCTCCCCCCAGGCAGCCAAAGGAGCAACAAGGCAAAAGGCCGATTACAATCGCAAAGACCCGAGCCCTGCTTACAGGGAGGTCGCCCAGCACAAAACAATCCAGGCACCTCACGTGCCAGCACTGCTCTCCTCTACCTACAGCCCCGCTAACAGGGCGAAGCCTTTGCCCAGGGTGTCCTCCTCTTTGCCCGTCTTCCATCTGCCGCTCCCTCTTCCCGCTCGCTCTTGCCTCGCCGTTCCACACGACGCCTCCTCCTTCTTCTGCGCTGGCTGCTGCAAACAAAGCACAAGCCATTAGACATGGGTTCGAAGCTCCACCTCCTGTGCCCGACACAAACATGGAACCCAAGACCCTAAGGCAGGGCCCCACTCCACCCACCCCCCAGACAAGGACAGCCTCAGAGGTCCTCCTTCCCCTTTGCCGTAACAAGGCCAACCGAAAGCAGCTTTTCTTACCGTGTTGTACACGCAGAGGACCTTCATGCGGCGCTGCGGCAGGGCTCCAAGGCTGGCACCAAGGGCAAATGAAAGCTGGGCACACACAGCAACGGCCCAAGAGCCTGGACCCCTGCCTTACAGGGGGGCTCCGAGGAGCCATTGACAATTTCAAGTGCCCAGGGAACCAGAGCATCAGCACCCTGAGTTACAGGGCTGCCCTGGGCCCAGAGGCCGCGGGAGGCTCCTTCTCCCCAAAGTGGGGAATCCACAAGCCTGCATCCCGCTAACGGGTCAGGCACCCCACAGCTGCCAGCGGAGCAAAAGGCTCCGGACCAAAGCCTGCTTAAGGCGGGTCCGCAACACCCATGGAACCGCAGAGCTCAACCTTTCCCCCGCCAGTGGAGCCAGACGGCCGAATGCCGAGGCTCGGGCCCCAAGCCCTGCTTACAGGGAGGGTGAAAACCCGGCCCTACTTCTAGTGGCCCCAAGCCCATGTAAAGCAGGGGACACGGAGACCCACCTGGCTACAGGGGGCTCCTTGCAGCGAGAGACACGGGGCTACGCTTGACCCTGCTTACAGGGCGGTACCCCACGCACCATCAATTACAGTGATGCCAGAGACGTCCAGAAGCCAAAACGGCTTCTGCCGAGACCCAATTGGACAACGCACCCCAGCTACGGGGTGCTGAAACACAGCATGCATCGTAATTTATCATTCATCTCCTTTAGAGAATCTGTTTTCACAGTATTCATAGAGGTCATATTATATTTATATAGCTTTTATATTGCTTTTTATGCAATAGTTGGCATTATAGCGTAGGCATCAGTCATATACTAAGTTTCCATAGCCCATCACGTTTAGACAAATAGTTTAGACCAAGAGCCAGACGGCTAAAATTAAGGGGGTGGGGAATTGGCTCTGCCCTGACTACAGGGAGGCCCTGGGGTCCGGCAAGCTCCACAGTCCTCCCGGGTGCGGAGAGAGCAGCTGTGCCCCTGATTACAGGGGGCCGCTCCCCCCAGGCAGCCAAAGGAGCAACAAGGCAAAAGGCCGATTACAATCGCAAAGACCCGAGCCCTGCTTACAGGGAGGTCGCCCAGCACAAAACAATCCAGGCACCTCACGTGCCAGCACTGCTCTCCTCTACCTACAGCCCCGCTAACAGGGCGAAGCCTTTGCCCAGGGTGTCCTCCTCTTTGCCCGTCTTCCATCTGCCGCTCCCTCTTGCCTCGCCGTTCCACACGACGCCTCCTCCTTCTTCTGCGCTGGCTGCTGCAAACAAAGCACAAGCCATTAGACATGGCTTCGAAGCTCCACCTCCTGTGCCCGACACAAACATGGAACCCAAGACCCTAAGGCAGGGCCCCACTCCACCCACCCCCCAGACAAGGACAGCCTCAGAGGTCCTCCTCCCCCTTTGCCGTAACAAGGCCAACCGAAAGCAGCTTTTCTTACCGTGTTGTACACGCAGAGGACCTTCATGCGGCGCTGCGGCAGGGCTCCAAGGCTGGCACCAAGGGCAAATGAAAGCTGGGCACACACAGCAACGGCCCAAGAGCCTGGACCCCTGCCTTACAGGGGGGCTCCGAGGAGCCATTGACAATTTCAAGTGCCCAGGGAACCAGAGCATCAGCACCCTGAGTTACAGGGCTGCCCTGGGCCCAGAGGCTGCGGGAGGCTCCTTCTCCCCAAAGTGGGGAATCCACAAGCCTGCATCCCACTAACGGGTCAGGCACCCCACAGCTGCCAGCGGAGCAAAAGGCTCCGGACCAAAGCCTGCTTAAGGCGGGTCCGCACCACCCATGGAACCGCAGAGCTCAACCTTTCCCCCGCCAGCGGAGCGAGATGGCTAAATACCGAGGCTCGGGCCCCAAGCCCTGCTTACAGGGAGGGTGAAAACCCGGCCCTGCTTCTAGAGGCCCCAGGCCCATGTAAAGCGGGGGACACGGAGACCCACCTGGCTACTGGGGGCTCCTTGCAGCGAGAGACACGGGGCTACGCTTGACCCTGCTTACAGGGCGGTACCCCATGCACCAGCAGCGCCACAACACTGTGTGGAGCACGAGGCTCCCACCCACGGACCGGCCCGGCCCGCCTGGCTGTGCCACAACTCCACCGCTTCAGGAGCCCTACGGGCAGACTAAGCCCACGCAATACCGACTCCAAGCAGATCCCCGACCACAACAGCAGCACCCCAGCCCGCACCCTCTAGAGGGCCGCGAGGGGGCTGTTCGTTCCTGCTGGCTGACTAGAGCAACTGGCTCCGGCGCCTGCTTACAGGCCGGCCCTGCTCGCGGGGACAGAGGGCTCCGCACCTCGTGACACAGACCCCAACGACGGGGTTGTCACGAGCACTAGTCTCCGGCAGACACACAAGCACACGGGCGCAGACCCAGGCCCTGACTACAGGGTGCCGCCGCCCATCCTACTCTTGTGTCGCTTGAATGCCATAAAAAAAGGGCCAAGCCCGGACTCCGCCGTCCCTATCAAATTCTCTGTGCTCAGGCTGCTGCAAGGCCTCGGTCCCCCCAGGGAAGTGTGGGCTAAGCTGCAGCAATTTCTAGGAGAGCCCTAAGGAAAAACTCAATCGCTCGCTCACACGCACCTGGAGAAGGAGCAAAGAACAGAGAAAAGGGACAGACAACGTCCCTGTGGGGAAGGAGACCAGCGCAGCCAACCACAGGGCAGCAAGACGCCACCCGCGAGCATAAGGCGAGAATCTCAGACCCGCCCAGAAATTACAGTGATGCCAGAGACGTCCAGAAGCCAAAACGGCTTCTGCCGAGACCCAATTGGACAACGCACCCCAGCTACGGGGTGCTGAAACACAGCATGCATCGTAATTTATCATTCATCTCCTTTAGAGAATCTGTTTTCACAGTATTCATAGAGGTCATATTATATATATATCGCTTTTATATTGCTTTTTATGCAATAGTTGGCATATCATAGGCATCAGTCATATACTAAGTTTCCATAGCCCATCACGTTTAGACAAATAGTTTAGACAAAGAGCCAGACGGCTAAAATTAAGGGGGTGGGGAATTGGCTCTGCCCTGACTACAGGGAGGCCCTGGGGTCCGGCAAGCTCCACAGTCCTCCCGGGTGCGGAGAGAGCAGCTGTGCCCCTGATTACAGGGGGCCGCTCCCCCCAGGCAGCCAAAGGAGCAACAAGGCAAAAGGCCGATTACAATCGCAAAGACCCGAGCCCTGCTTACAGGGAGGTCGCCCAGCACAAAACAATCCAGGCACCTCACGTGCCAGCACTGCTCTCCTCTACCTACAGCCCCGCTAACAGGGCGAAGCCTTTGCCCAGGGTGTCCTCCTCTTTGCCCGTCTTCCATCTGCCGCTCCCTCTTCCCGCTCGCTCTTGCCTCGCCGTTCCACACGACGCCTCCTCCTTCTTCTGCGCTGGCTGCTGCAAACAAAGCACAAGCCATTAGACATGGGTTCGAAGCTCCACCTCCTGTGCCCGACACAAACATGGAACCCAAGACCCTAAGGCAGGGCCCCACTCCACCCACCCCCCAGACAAGGACAGCCTCAGAGGTCCTCCTCCCCCTTTGCCGTAACAAGGCCAACCGAAAGCAGCTTTTCTTACCGTGTTGTACACGCAGAGGACCTTCATGCGGCGCTGCGGCAGGGCTCCAAGGCTGGCACCAAGGGCAAATGAAAGCTGGGCACACACAGCAACGGCCCAAGAGCCTGGACCCCTGGCTTACAGGGGGGCTCCGAGGAGCCATTGACAATTTCAAGTGCCCAGGGAACCAGAGCATCAGCACCCTGAGTTACAGGGCTGCCCTGGGCCCAGAGGCCGCGGGAGGCTCCTTCTCCCCAAAGTGGGGAATCCACAAGCCTGCATCCCACTAACGGGTCAGGCACCCCACAGCTGCCAGCGGAGCAAAAGGCTCCGGACCAAAGCCTGCTTAAGGCGGGTCCGCACCACCCATGGAACCGCAGAGCTCAACCTTTCCCCCGCCAGCGGAGCGAGATGGCTAAATACCGAGGCTCGGGCCCCAAGCCCTGCTTACAGGGAGGGTGAAAACCCGGCCCTGCTTCTAGAGGCCCCAGGCCCATGTAAAGCGGGGGACACGGAGACCCACCTGGCTACTGGGGGCTCCTTGCAGCGAGAGACACGGGGCTACGCTTGACCCTGCTTACAGGGCGGTACCCCATGCACCAGCAGCGCCACAACACTGTGTGGAGCACGAGGCTCCCACCCACGGACCGGCCCGGCCCGCCTGGCTGTGCCACAACTCCACCGCTTCAGGAGCCCTACGGGCAGACTAAGCCCACGCAATACCGACTCCAAGCAGATCCCCGACCACAACAGCAGCACCCCAGCCCGCACCCTCTAGAGGGCCGCGAGGGGGCTGTTCGTTCCTGCTGGCTGACTAGAGCAACTGGCTCCGGCGCCTGCTTACAGGCCGGCCCTGCTCGCGGGGACAGAGGGCTCCGCACCTCGTGACACAGACCCCAACGACGGGGTTGTCACGAGCACTAGTCTCCGGCAGACACACAAGCACACGGGCGCAGACCCAGGCCCTGACTACAGGGTGCCGCCGCCCATCCTACTCTTGTGTCGCTTGAATGCCATAAAAAAAGGGCCAAGCCCGGACTCCGCCGTCCCTATCAAATTCTCTGTGCTCAGGCTGCTGCAAGGCCTCGGTCCCCCCAGGGAAGTGTGGGCTAAGCTGCAGCAATTTCTAGGAGAGCCCTAAGGAAAAACTCAATCGCTCGCTCACACGCACCTGGAGAAGGAGCAAAGAACAGAGAAAAGGGACAGACAACGTCCCTGTGGGGAAGGAGACCAGCGCAGCCAACCACAGGGCAGCAAGACGCCACCCGCGAGCATAAGGCGAGAATCTCAGACCCGCCCAGAAATTACAGTGATGCCAGAGACGTCCAGAAGCCAAAACGGCTTCTGCCGAGACCCAATTGGACAACGCACCCCAGCTACGGGGTGCTGAAACACAGCATGCATCGTAATTTATCATTCATCTCCTTTAGAGAATCTGTTTTCACAGTATTCATAGAGGTCATATTATATATATATCGCTTTTATATTGCTTTTTATGCAATAGTTGGCATATCATAGGCATCAGTCATATACTAAGTTTCCATAGCCCATCACGTTTAGACAAATAGTTTAGACAAAGAGCCAGACGGCTAAAATTAAGGGGGTGGGGAATTGGCTCTGCCCTGACTACAGGGAGGCCCTGGGGTCCGGCAAGCTCCACAGTCCTCCCGGGTGCGGAGAGAGCAGCTGTGCCCCTGATTACAGGGGGCCGCTCCCCCCAGGCAGCCAAAGGAGCAACAAGGCAAAAGGCCGATTACAATCGCAAAGACCCGAGCCCTGCTTACAGGGAGGTCGCCCAGCACAAAACAATCCAGGCACCTCACGTGCCAGCACTGCTCTCCTCTACCTACAGCCCCGCTAACAGGGCGAAGCCTTTGCCCAGGGTGTCCTCCTCTTTGCCCGTCTTCCATCTGCCGCTCCCTCTTCCCGCTCCCTCTTGCCTCGCCGTTCCACACGACGCCTCCTCCTTCTTCTGCGCTGGCTGCTGCAAACAAAGCACAAGCCATTAGACATGGGTTCGAAGCTCCACCTCCTGTGCCAGAAAGAAATGGGGAGGACTTTCAAGTTTGTGTTCATTAGGGTGGTTGTTTTGAGGAGCTGCGTTTGGATCCCTGGCTTTGTCTTACCAACACCAACTTAAATCAACTTTTCTCACCATCCTGAGGCACAGAGCTCCTCAAGCTACTTCTGCCATGCGGCTCCAACCCCGGGTAAGTAGGGTAGGGCGCACACAGAAGCAGCCTGAGCACCTGCACCCTTGCTTACAGAGTGGTCACACAGTAGAAAACCAACCCGGGCACCTAATGTGCCAGCGCTGTTCTGCTTACTGTAGCCCTGCTGACAGGGCAGTGCCTTTACTGTTTCCCCTCTTCAGTCTTCTGGTGGTCTTCTTGTCACCCATTGTTGCGTCACAGTTCCACATGACACGTCTTCTTTCTTGTGCACTGGCTGCTACCAGCTGAAGTCCTTACCTGTTGACAGGGCAGTACCTTTGTCCAGGCTGTTTTTTCCTTCATTCATCATTGCTGCTACTCTCCTCTTCTTACTCATTCATACTGTTCATTCCCTTTGATTTATGTTGTGTTTTTTTTTCCCCTAGCACCTGCTGCCAAAGGAACAACATATAGCTTAAATGGAGATTACTGTCTACCAGTATCTGCTCCTAAAGACCAGCTATCTAGCAAATAAAAATTACTACACATTGCATTTTTCTTAGCATTCTTGTTTTTCTTCTTTCATATACTTTTTTTGTTTTTTTTTTTTTGTTTGTTTGTTTTTTTTGTTTTGTTTTGTTTTTTTTGTTTTTTTTACATCATCCATTCCTCCACGCTATCACTGAGAGTTAGCCAATAGGGACATCTGAACAAGGCTTTCTCCAACTTTCTCACAACCTCATCAGGAGAATTAAAAATAAAGCCTCCATCAACCATCCCACCACACCTACAGACATTGGTTGTATTAGCGCCTACCCAAAAATCCCAAACCGACTCTGTGCTGCCGCCCCTTCCAGTCCCCTCAGCACGGCCCTGCTCACTCACCGCTCGCCCCCCCTCCATTACCTCAGCCCAGGCGGGCTCCTCAGCACCGTCTCCTCTTCTCCCCACATCCTCCCGTGCAGCCCCCCGACACCGCCCCACCACACTCCCACTCGGTACCGACACCTCACCGCCCCCCGATGGGGCTGCGCACCGCGACCTCCTCAGGAGGACAGGCCGGCAGAGCGCGCACCTGCAGCACCTCCACCGTCCGCTCAGGCACTGACCTGACGGGTTACCTCACAAAGCCTTATATACCCGCCCGGCCCGCCCGCCAGCCAATAGCAACGCGGAACGGCACCCGCCACTTTTGCCTTGGCAATCGCGCTCGCCCATTGGTGGAAATGGGCTCGCGGCCGGCTTTGATTGGTCGAGGCCTCTGAGGGTAACGGCTGTTGCTGGCGGCGCCGACGTGCCCGCGGCCCTGCCCGTCATTCTGTCAATTATGAGGGGGTTGTGTCCGTCACAGCGGCCCGCGCCCTGCGGAGGGGCCCTGGGAAAACCCGTGCGCACCCGGCCAAATAAAAAGCTAAAAACCGCCTGTTTGCAAGTGTTCTGTCCGGGAACATGTTACACATCCCTTTCCAGGAAATAGGTGGCCCCAAATTAATTAAAAATACATATTTTGGTTAATAAATTTTCCACAGAAATTTCTAATATCACTGCCTCCACAAAGAAAATCCCTTTGACCTCAGAAATATTTCTGAGAAAAGGGAATATTATTACAGGGAAAACAGTTAAAAAAAGAAGCCTGATGTCAGGTAGCCCTTTCTCAAACCTTCTTACAGACTCTGATCTAACTTGCTCTTAAAACTCTAAAGAAATATCATATCCTACCACAGCAGTTTATTCTTTAATTTCAGGCTGCAGTTTTTGAGCTTTTACTGCCAGGGTCACAAGAGTGTCTGAGCAGCTCAGCTGTGGCAAAAAGCATTCAGCTGAGATCTATTTGGCAGCTGTGCATCCCTAGCTCTTGACTCTTTTTTCTTGAGTGGAAGGCATACTAAAATGCACTTCATTTTACAAAAATGTTAATGAAAACGAGTATTTTACCTATCCACTTGTCATGAGAAATACGAATAATTTTAAAGGTTTTATAAAAGTAACTGATTGAAAAATGGTAAGCTTCGGTTAAGCTGAAGTAAACAGGCCCAGGTCAGGGTAGATTTTAGCAGCGCAGCCTCTCAAATGTGGTGGTGTTGCTGCACCCCCATAAATTCGGATGTACCTGGTTTTCTTGTCCTGCAGCTGATGACAGCTTGTGGCTTGTACTGGGAGAGAGGGGGTCTAAGAGCTTTTCAGGGGGTACCAAAGGATTTCTGTGGATTGTGGAGCCTGGAGCATATCCCCCAGGCGAAGTCAGCACTTACCACATGGTTTCTAATGTTTCAGCAACTTGCACAAAAGCACGTATTATAAGTCATATCCACATATCAGTTCTTGCCTGCGAATTTAATGCTTTGTGTATTTTTCTTTGTTTATTGGTTTTTGACAAAGGTATCATTCCAACTGTCCTTCTCAGCTCTACCTTGCAACAGCACACACATTCTGCCTCAGAACTGCCTTTAGTAGCTGTCACTAATACAGGAACAACTCCTTATATTAATGTGATTTACACAAAAGTTGTAAAAAACAGTAAATTTTCAGTATAGTCTAATGAATACTGAGATCTCTTGCAACACAAGGTGTAAAAACTAAGGGATCCTACCATACATGGCAGAGCCAGCTGCTGATAGCAAGCCCTGCTGTAAAGATTTTGATGCCTTGATTATGTAAATAAGGGAGATTATTCCATCCACAAAATTCTAGCAAGATAATCATCAAACAATAAATCACCACAACTCAGGCAAACGCAAATGAATTTTAAACATTATCACCATAATTACAACTGTATTGCTGTTATTATCTGAGCAGCATAGAGGACATCAGGCCCCAGATATTATTCCCCACTGGTTGCAATTTAAATTGGTTGACATTATTTAGTCTGTAGGGACATTGTGTAGAAATGGATTCAGTTTTCCGAAATTGGACTCGGCTTCTCTGCAGCCATGATTTCCACTTGCCTGGTACCCTGGTTTCTGGCTGATTCAGGCACGTCAAAGACCTAATCCAAAGCATACTGAAGGGAACACCAGCCTTCCTACTGCTATCAAGAAACCCAAAATCTAGTCCTAGGCCCCCCCATTTGTTAAAAATACGACAGTCGCAGCAGAAAAACTCTTTCAATCTCTCCTGCCTAAACTCAGTTTGATTGTCAGCCCTAACTGACTCTAGTTTTCTAAGATCTGAGCACAATTCAGCAGAGCAGGTATACACACACTTAACTCTTTCTAACACATCCCCTCAGCTTTCTTTGGAGCGTGCCCCACTGCAAACACCCACGAAATGGCATGTTCTCAAGGGTAAAGCATGGTCATTTGCTGCCTTTTACTTGGAACAGCCACTTTCCGAGCTGTAAGAAAAGCCAGGCTTGGAGCTCCCTAGAAGTATGCTGCAGCAGGAGTTCCTCAGTACATTATGTCACAGGTACCTATAGTGTTTCAACAAATTAGATGATGTTTCACTGGAGGTTAATTTATGTTCAAACATAATCGATTATAGGGATTTGGGACAGAGCTATGTTGTGAATTTAGGTGGCAAAGGATGAGATTTATTATAAATACATTTATAGAGGAGGAAAATGTCGGATGGCTTGGGAAATTTAGAGATATTGAAAGAAGAATTTGACATCTATATTAACTAAAGCCCTAAATGGGCTGGGCTTGTTTACATTGCTTCAGTCTTATTACAGGGTGAATTTTACCAGCTGTCTTGCTGAGCAGTCATTTAGCCTTAAACTATAGTTAAAACTGTCATGGTTTTAAGCAAATTATATTGCGTAAAGTAATTATTTCCCTAACTGCAAAGAGGATCCAGGTAGCTTGTGAATCTCATTTCCGAAAAAAAGGAGCTAGCAGAGCGCCCTCTGCACAAAATATAGGAATGCAGAGTTAAGGATTTGGAAATGTCTCTGTAATCCAGAAAAGCGCAGGAAGGCTTGATTAGTTAGTGGTATACATTTAGTTAGTGCTATACATTTGGGTATGGAGGAGACAGGAAGGAAGTCGATTTCTGCCAAGCCAATCTGTTAATTACACAGATTGACTACTAATTCCAGAACATCAAGGCAAAACTTGTTTCTTTACAAGGTGTTCCTGCACCAATAAATGTTAATCCTCATGATTAATACAAACTTTACACTTACTTTGTCTGAGGGGAAATTGCCAAAGAGCCATTTTGGAGAAATAAACTACAGCAATTAGAGGTTAGCCAGGATAAGGAGGCATGCAATGGGCAGAGGTCTCACAGATCCCTAAAATCACCACTTGCAGCTAACGCTCTCCACGTGTAACAGGAAGGCTCCACTATGCTCATTTGAAACTGCTGTGGGGCCTCAAAACCTTGATCTATTCAAAAATGTGATGGCCTTTCTGCTGTACGCATTGTGGCAAACCACGGCTGGTGTCTGGAAGAGATGCTCACTTAGCTCCATACCACGTGGATAAAGAGCTCTCAGCTACTCAGTGTCGTGGTTCCGCTCGAGCGGGCAGCCGAGCTCCACCACAGCCGCTCTCTCACTCCCCCTCCTCAAAGAGGAATGGGGAGAAAATATGTGAAAGGGGCTCAAGGATTGAGATAAGGACGAGAAAATCACGCAATAATTAGTGTAACGGGCAAACCAGACTCAGCATAAGACGACAGATAGTAAGATTTATTGCTCATTACTAACAAGCTAGAGAAGTGAGAAACAAAGGAAAGAAACCAAAAGCACCTTCCCCCCCCCCCATCCACCCTCTTCCACCTCCTCCCCCCGAGCGGCGCAGGGGAACGGGGGAATGGGGGTTATGGTCAGTCTACAGTACTTCTTCTCTGCCGCTCCTTCTCGGTCACTCTAGTCCCCTGTGCTGTGGGGTCCCACCCACGGGATGCAGTCCTTGACGAACTGATCCGGCGTGGGCTTCCCACAGGCAGCAGCTCTTCCAGAACTGCTCCAGATATGGGTCCGTACCACGGGGTCCATCCCTCAGGAGAAAACTGCTCCAACCTGGCTCCCCTACGGGCAGCAGCTCCTGCCAGGTCACCTGCTCCTGCGTGGGCTCCTCTCCACGGGCTACAGGTCCGGCCCGGAATCTGCTCCGGCAGGGGTCTTCCACAGGCGGCAGCCTCCGTCGGTGCAGGGCCACCTGCTCCACCGTGGACTCCTCCACGGGCTGCAGCGTGGAACCCTGCTCCACCGTGGTACTCCATGGGCTGCAGGGGGACATCCTGCTTCACCATGGTCCTCGCCACAGGCCGCAGGGGACTTCTGCTCCGGCGCCTGGAGCACCTCTCCCCCTCCTTCTACACTGACCTTGGCACCTGCAAGGCTGTTTCTCACTCCCTTGACTCTCCCGGCTGCTGTGTGGCGCAGCAATTTTTCCCCGTCTTAAATATGCTCTCACAGAGGCGCAAAACAACATCGCTTATTGGCTCAGATCTGGAAAACAACGGGGCCCTTCCCAAACATGGGGCGGCTTCTAGATCTTTCTCACAGAAACCACCCCTATGGCCCCCTGCTACCAAAACCTTGCCACGTAAACCCACTACACTCAGGCAAATACATAAAATAATAAATTGGATTTATTAATATTATTAATAAATAAAATAATAAATTGAATTTACCAATGGCTTGGTTTCGTTCATTGCTGTGTCCCTTTCTGATCGCTTCTCCTTGCAAATCAGTGCCTGACCGGTGACTTTCTTTTATATAATCAGATTCACCTCCACACCCGGTGCTGGCACTCGCTCTGTTTTTAATTAGGAAGCAAAAGCTTATTGCAGACAAGTATTTCTCCAGGACAATCCTCTTGCAAGGCTGCATTTTACACTGTATATAGTTCATCTAGTGGCAATTTAACATTGCCATCAAACATTCATTATAGCATCAGAATGGAATTTGCATCATATCTGTGTGCTTCCTTTACAATGCTACTGCACAAGGATCCAGCAATTAATTCAGCCAGCAGCAGGAGCTCAGACAAGTGCTATCAGCAAGGCAGAGCACCACTGAAGCCTCTCTTTACATGGACTGCATTGCTGTCCACTGAGTAACCACTACAGCAGCCCACAATGAGGGTAAATTAGACATTTTGAGGGCTATTCAGCAGTGTTCCTTTAGCCAGAAAACAAGACAGGCTATTTAACAGAGGTACTTCTGAAATCATGATTCGTCAGAAAGGCACACTGGAGCTAAATTCCCAGTGAGGTCTAGATTTAACTGTGGAATGGGACAAGAACATCTTTGGTCCCATACAAAAGTGTCCTCAGGGTCGTCTTCTGCCTCGGGGTTGAAATCTTGTAGCAGAATTATTTATTAGTACCAGCTAATATTTTTTTTCTAGCATAGATAAGGCAAATCACCACTTACAAACTTCAAAGAAGGCCAAATGGAGGAAGACACCTGTTTTATGCTTATACGACATTTTTGAATGAGGTTGGGGTGAAAGGGAGAAGGAAAGTGGGAGTGAGAAATCATGGATATCACATTAATAATAACATGATAACAATGTTTATTTAGAAATTTTCTATTTCAGTGCTTTTTGACAGAGGTGGGGTTTTCAAATGCTTGTATTATTGTCTTTCTTGGAAAAAGGTTGACATTAAACAGAAAACAAAAAGTTTCTAAAGATCCCCAAATTCTCCAAGAAAATTGAGTTTTTTTTGTTCCCAATTGCTATTTAAATAAGCAGGCTTCCAAACGAGGCTTCACACAGTGTATATCGTTTCTCCTCTGGGCAGCAGGGAAGCTGCTTTCCATTCAGTTTTAGTAATAACCTGAGTTTAAATCTCTTCCTGCAGAATTACAGTGGTGTGTAAGAGGAAGTGTAAGTGGAGTGTAAGAGGAAGAAGAAAACGGCCAAGAATATTTCACCTGTCTGTGAGGACAGGACAAGGGGCAATGGCCACAGAATGCAGCACAGGAAGTTCTGTACCACTATGGTGGAAGGTGATGGAATACTGCACCAGGCTGCTCAGCTACCTTCTCTGCAGTTATTTTTGACTTGTATGGATGCCTCCCTATGCCATTTCATCAAGGGAACCTTTTTTGCCAACGGTATTGAATGCGATGGCCTCTCGAGGTCGCTCCCAAGCCCTAGAATTCTGTTATTTCTTTCTTCTGCATACGCTGTTGCAAAGCAAAGGCAAAACAGTTAGAGCTTACAACACAGTTCTCAATCTGGTAACTAAAGGTAAAAGGAAACCCAAGGCAGCTCCTCATAACAACCACCCTAACAAAGACAACCTCAGAGGTTACGGCAAAGGGAGAAGAGCACAAGGCCAACCGAAAGCAGCTTTTCTTACCGTGTTGCCTTTGCCCAGGGTGTCCTCCTCTTTGCCCGTCTTCCATCTGCCGCTCCCTCTTGCCTCGCCGTTCCACACGACGCCTCCTCCTTCTTCTGCGCTGGCTGCTGCAAACAAAGCACAAGCCATTAGACATGGGTTCGAAGCTCCACCTCCTGTGCCCGACACAAACATGGAACCCAAGACCCTAAGGCAGGGCCCCACTCCACCCACCCCCCAGACAAGGAGAGCCTCAGAGGTCCTCCTCCCCCTTTGCCGTAACAAGGCCAACCGAAAGCAGCTTTTCTTACCGTGTTGTACACGCAGAGGACCTTCATGCGTCGCTGCGGCAGGGCTCCAAGGCTGGCACCAAGGGCAAACGAAAGCTGGGCACACACAGCAACGGCCCAAGAGCCTGGACCCCTGCCTTACAGGGGGGCTCCGAGGAGCCATTGACAATTTCAAGTGCCCAGGGAACCAGAGCATCAGCACCCTGAGTTACAGGGCTGCCCTGGGCCCAGAGGCCGCGGGAGGCTCCTTCTCCCCAAAGTGGGGAATCCACAAGCCTGCATCCCGCTAACGGGTCAGGCACCCCACAGCTGCCAGCGGAGCAAAAGGCTCCGGACCAAAGCCTGCTTAAGGCGGGTCCGCAACACCCATGGAACTGCAGAGCTCAACCTTTCCCCCGCCAGTGGAGCCAGACGGCCGAATGCCGAGGCTCGGGCCCCAAGCCCTGCTTACAGGGAGGGTGAAAACCCTGCCCTACTTCTAGTGGCCCCAGGCCCATGGAAAGCGGGGGACACGGAGACCCACCTGGCTACTGGGGGCTCCTTGCAGCGAGAGACACGGGGCTACGCTTGACCCTGCTTACAGGGCGGTACCCCACGCACCAACAATTACAGTGATGCCAGAGACGTCCAGAAGCCGAAACGGCTTCTGCCGAGACCCAATTGGACAACGCACCCCAGCTACGGGGTGCTGAAACACAGCATGCATCAGAATTTATCATTCATCTCCTTTAGAGAATCTGTTTTCACAGTATTCATAGAGGTCATATTATATATATATCGCTTTTATATTGCTTTTTATGCAATAGTTGGCATTATAGCGTAGGCATCAGTCATATACTAAGTTTCCATAGCCCATCACGTTTAGACAAATAGTTTAGACAAAGAGCCAGACGGCTAAAATTAAGGGGGTGGGGAATTGGCTCTGCCCTGACTACAGGGAGGCCCTGGGGTCCGGCAAGCTCCACAGTCCTCCCGGGTGCGGAGAGAGCAGCTGTGCCCCTGATTACAGGGGGCCGCTCCCCCCAGGCAGCCAAAGGAGCAACAAGGCAAAAGGCCGATTACAATCGCAAAGACCCGAGCCCTGCTTACAGGGAGGTCGCCCAGCACAAAACAATCCAGGCACCTCACGTGCCAGCACTGCTCTCCTCTACCTACAGCCCCGCTAACAGGGCGAAGCCTTTGCCCAGGGTGTCCTCCTCTTTGCCCGTCTTCCATCTGCCGCTCGCTCTTGCCTCGCCGTTCCACACGACGCCTCCTCCTTCTTCTGCGCTGGCTGCTGCAAACAAAGCACAAGCCATTAGACATGGCTTCGAAGCTCCTGTGCCCGACAGAAACATGGAACCCAAGACCCTAAGGCAGGGCCCCACTCCACCCACCCCCCAGACAAGGAGAGCCTCAGAGGTCCTCCTCCCCCTTTGCCGTAACAAGGCCAACCGAAAGCAGCTTTTCTTACCGTGTTGTACACGCAGAGGACCTTCATGCGGCGCTGCGGCAGGGCTCCAAGGCTGGCACCAAGGGCAAATGAAAGCTGGGCACACACAGCAACGGCCCAAGAGCCTGGACCCCTGGCTTACAGGGCGGCTCCGAGGAGCCATTGACAATTTCAAGTGCCCAGGGAACCAGAGCATCAGCACCCTGAGTTACAGGGCTGCCCTGGGCCCAGAGGCCGCGGGAGGCTCCTTCTCCCCAAAGTGGGGAACCCACAAGCCTGCATCCCGCTAACGGGTCAGGCACCCCACAGCTGCCAGCGGAGCAAAAGGCTCCGGACCAAAGCCTGCTAAGGCGGGTCCGCAACACCCATGGAACCGCAGAGCTCAACCTTTCCCCCGCCAGTGGAGCCAGACGGCCGAATGCCGAGGCTCGGGCCCCAGGCCCTGCTTACAGGGAGGGTGAAAACCCGGCCCTACTTCTAGAGGCCCCAGGCCCATGGAAAGCGGGGGACACGGAGACCCACCTGGCTACTGGGGGCTCCTTGCAGCGAGAGACACGGGGCTACGCTTGACCCTGCTTACAGGGCGGTACCCCACGCACCATCAATTACAGTGATGCCAGAGACGTCCAGAAGCCGAAACGGCTTCTGCCGAGACCCAATTGGACAACGCACCCCAGCTACGGGGTGCTGAAACACAGCATGCATCAGAATTTATCATTCATCTCCTTTAGAGAATCTGTTTTCACAGTATTCATAGAGGTCATATTATATATATATCGCTTTTATATTGCTTTTTATGCAATAGTTGGCATTATAGCGTAGGCATCAGTCATATACTAAGTTTCCATAGCCCATCACGTTTAGACAAATAGTTTAGACAAAGAGCCAGACGGCTAAAATTAAGGGGGTGGGGAATTGGCTCTGCCCTGACTACAGGGAGGCCCTGGGGTCCGGCAAGCTCCACAGTCCTCCCGGGTGCGGAGAGAGCAGCTGTGCCCCTGATTACAGGGGGCCGCTCCCCCCAGGCAGCCAAAGGAGCAACAAGGCAAAAGGCCGATTACAATCGCAAAGACCCGAGCCCTGCTTACAGGGAGGTCGCCCAGCACAAAACAATCCAGGCACCTCACGTGCCAGCACTGCTCTCCTCTACCTACAGCCCCGCTAACAGGGCGAAGCCTTTGCCCAGGGTGTCCTCCTCTTTGCCCGTCTTCCATCTGCCGCTCCCTCTTGCCTCGCCGTTCCACACGACGCCTCCTCCTTCTTCTGCGCTGGCTGCTGCAAACAAAGCACAAGCCATTAGACATGGCTTCGAAGCTCCACCTCCTGTGCCAGAAAGAAATGGGCAGGACTTTCAAGTTTGTGTTCATTAGGGTGGTTGTTTTGAGGAGCTGCGTTTGGATCCCTGGCTTTGTCTTACCAACACCAACTTAAATCAACTTTTCTCACCATCCTGAGGCACAGAGCTCCTCAAGCTACTTCTGCCGTGCGGCTCCAACCCCGGGTAAGTAGGGTAGGGCGCACACAGAAGCAGCCTGAGCACCTGCACCCTTGCTTACAGAGCGGTCACACAGTAGAAAACCAACCCGGGCACCTAACGTGCCAGCGCTGTTCTGCTTACTGTAGCCCTGCTGACAGGGCAGTGCCTTTACTGTTTCCCCTCTTCAGTCTTCTGGTGGTCTTCTTGTCGCCCATTGTTGCGTCACAGTTCCACATGACACATCTTCTTTCTTGTGCACTGGCTGCTACCAGCTGAAGTCCTTACCTGTTGACAGGGCAGTACCTTTGTCCAGGCTGTTTTTTCCTTCATTCATCATTGCTGCTACTCTCCTCTTCTTACTCATTAATATTGTTCATTCCCTTTGATTTATGTTGTGTTTTTTTTCCCCTAGCACCTGCTGCCAAAGGAACAACATACAGCTTAAATGGAGATTAGTATCTACCAGTATCTGCTCCTAAAGACCAGCTATCTAGCAAATAAAAATTACTACACATTGCATTTTTCTTAGCATTCTTGTTTTTCTTCTTTCATATACTTTTTTTGTTTTTTTGTTTTTTGTTTTTTGTTTTTTTTTTTTTTACATCATCCATTCCTCCACGCTATCGCTGAGAGTTAGCCAATAGGGACATCTGAACAAGGCTTTCTCCAACTTTCTCACAACCTCATCAGGAGAATTAAAAATAAAGCCTCCATCAACCATCCCACCACACCTACAGACATTGGTTGTATTAGCGCCTACCCAAAAATCCCAAACCGACTCTGTGCTGCCGCCCCTTCCAGTCCCCTCAGCACGGCCCTGCTCACTCACCGCTCGCCCCCCCTCCATTACCTCAGCCCAGGCGGGCTCCTCAGCACCGTCTCCTCTTCTCCCCACATCCTCCCGTGCAGCCCCCCGACACCGCCCCACCACACTCCCACTCGGTACCGACACCTCACCGCCCCCCGATGGGGCTGCGCACCGCGACCTCCTCAGGAGGACAGGCCGGCAGAGCGCGCACCTGCAGCACCTCCACCGTCCGCTCAGGCACTGACCTGACGGGTTACCTCACAAAGCCTTATATACCCGCCCGGCCCGCCCGCCAGCCAATAGCAACGCGGAACGGCACCCGCCACTTTTGCCTTGGCAATCGCGCTCGCCCATTGGTGGAAATGGGCTCGCGGCCGGCTTTGATTGGTCGAGGCCTCTGAGGGTAACGGCTGTTGCTGGCGGCGCCGACGTGCCCGCGGCCCTGCCCGTCATTCTGTCAATTATGAGGGGGTTGTGTCCGTCACAGCGGCCCGCGCCCTGCGGAGGGGCCCTGGGAAAACCCGTGCGCACCCGGCCAAATAAAAAGCTAAAAACCGCCTGTTTGCAAGTGTTCTGTCCGGGAACATGTTACACATCCCTTTCCAGGAAATAGGTGGCCCCAAATTAATTAAAAATACATATTTTGGTTAATAAATTTTCCACAGAAATTTCTAATATCACTGCCTCCACAAAGAAAATCCCTTTGACCTCAGAAATATTTCTGAGAAAAGGGAATATTATTACAGGGAAAACAGTTAAAAAAAGAAGCCTGATGTCAGGTAGCCCTTTCTCAAACCTTCTTACAGACTCTGATCTAACTTGCTCTTAAAACTCTAAAGAAATATCATATCCTACCACAGCAGTTTATTCTTTAATTTCAGGCTGCAGTTTTTGAGCTTTTACTGCCAGGGTCACAAGAGTGTCTGAGCAGCTCAGCTGTGGCAAAAAGCATTCAGCTGAGATCTATTTGGCAGCTGTGCATCCCTAGCTCTTGACTCTTTTTTCTTGAGTGGAAGGCATACTAAAATGCACTTCATTTTACAAAAATGTTAATGAAAACGAGTATTTTACCTATCCACTTGTCATGAGAAATACGAATAATTTTAAAGGTTTTATAAAAGTAACTGATTGAAAAATGGTAAGCTTCGGTTAAGCTGAAGTAAACAGGCCCAGGTCAGGGTAGATTTTAGCAGCGCAGCCTCTCAAATGTGGTGGTGTTGCTGCACCCCCATAAATTCGGATGTACCTGGTTTTCTTGTCCTGCAGCTGATGACAGCTTGTGGCTTGTACTGGGAGAGAGGGGGTCTAAGAGCTTTTCAGGGGGTACCAAAGGATTTCTGTGGATTGTGGAGCCTGGAGCATATCCCCCAGGCGAAGTCAGCACTTACCACATGGTTTCTAATGTTTCAGCAACTTGCACAAAAGCACGTATTATAAGTCATATCCACATATCAGTTCTTGCCTGCGAATTTAATGCTTTGTGTATTTTTCTTTGTTTATTGGTTTTTGACAAAGGTATCATTCCAACTGTCCTTCTCAGCTCTACCTTGCAACAGCACACACATTCTGCCTCAGAACTGCCTTTAGTAGCTGTCACTAATACAGGAACAACTCCTTATATTAATGTGATTTACACAAAAGTTGTAAAAAACAGTAAATTTTCAGTATAGTCTAATGAATACTGAGATCTCTTGCAACACAAGGTGTAAAAACTAAGGGATCCTACCATACATGGCAGAGCCAGCTGCTGATAGCAAGCCCTGCTGTAAAGATTTTGATGCCTTGATTATGTAAATAAGGGAGATTATTCCATCCACAAAATTCTAGCAAGATAATCATCAAACAATAAATCACCACAACTCAGGCAAACGCAAATGAATTTTAAACATTATCACCATAATTACAACTGTATTGCTGTTATTATCTGAGCAGCATAGAGGACATCAGGCCCCAGATATTATTCCCCACTGGTTGCAATTTAAATTGGTTGACATTATTTAGTCTGTAGGGACATTGTGTAGAAATGGATTCAGTTTTCCGAAATTGGACTCGGCTTCTCTGCAGCCATGATTTCCACTTGCCTGGTACCCTGGTTTCTGGCTGATTCAGGCACGTCAAAGACCTAATCCAAAGCATACTGAAGGGAACACCAGCCTTCCTACTGCTATCAAGAAACCCAAAATCTAGTCCTAGGCCCCCCCATTTGTTAAAAATACGACAGTCGCAGCAGAAAAACTCTTTCAATCTCTCCTGCCTAAACTCAGTTTGATTGTCAGCCCTAACTGACTCTAGTTTTCTAAGATCTGAGCACAATTCAGCAGAGCAGGTATACACACACTTAACTCTTTCTAACACATCCCCTCAGCTTTCTTTGGAGCGTGCCCCACTGCAAACACCCACGAAATGGCATGTTCTCAAGGGTAAAGCATGGTCATTTGCTGCCTTTTACTTGGAACAGCCACTTTCCGAGCTGTAAGAAAAGCCAGGCTTGGAGCTCCCTAGAAGTATGCTGCAGCAGGAGTTCCTCAGTACATTATGTCACAGGTACCTATAGTGTTTCAACAAATTAGATGATGTTTCACTGGAGGTTAATTTATGTTCAAACATAATCGATTATAGGGATTTGGGACAGAGCTATGTTGTGAATTTAGGTGGCAAAGGATGAGATTTATTATAAATACATTTATAGAGGAGGAAAATGTCGGATGGCTTGGGAAATTTAGAGATATTGAAAGAAGAATTTGACATCTATATTAACTAAAGCCCTAAATGGGCTGGGCTTGTTTACATTGCTTCAGTCTTATTACAGGGTGAATTTTACCAGCTGTCTTGCTGAGCAGTCATTTAGCCTTAAACTATAGTTAAAACTGTCATGGTTTTAAGCAAATTATATTGCGTAAAGTAATTATTTCCCTAACTGCAAAGAGGATCCAGGTAGCTTGTGAATCTCATTTCCGAAAAAAAGGAGCTAGCAGAGCGCCCTCTGCACAAAATATAGGAATGCAGAGTTAAGGATTTGGAAATGTCTCTGTAATCCAGAAAAGCGCAGGAAGGCTTGATTAGTTAGTGGTATACATTTAGTTAGTGCTATACATTTGGGTATGGAGGAGACAGGAAGGAAGTCGATTTCTGCCAAGCCAATCTGTTAATTACACAGATTGACTACTAATTCCAGAACATCAAGGCAAAACTTGTTTCTTTACAAGGTGTTCCTGCACCAATAAATGTTAATCCTCATGATTAATACAAACTTTACACTTACTTTGTCTGAGGGGAAATTGCCAAAGAGCCATTTTGGAGAAATAAACTACAGCAATTAGAGGTTAGCCAGGATAAGGAGGCATGCAATGGGCAGAGGTCTCACAGATCCCTAAAATCACCACTTGCAGCTAACGCTCTCCACGTGTAACAGGAAGGCTCCACTATGCTCATTTGAAACTGCTGTGGGGCCTCAAAACCTTGATCTATTCAAAAATGTGATGGCCTTTCTGCTGTACGCATTGTGGCAAACCACGGCTGGTGTCTGGAAGAGATGCTCACTTAGCTCCATACCACGTGGATAAAGAGCTCTCAGCTACTCAGTGTCGTGGTTCCGCTCGAGCGGGCAGCCGAGCTCCACCACAGCCGCTCTCTCACTCCCCCTCCTCAAAGAGGAATGGGGAGAAAATATGTGAAAGGGGCTCAAGGATTGAGATAAGGACGAGAAAATCACGCAATAATTAGTGTAACGGGCAAACCAGACTCAGCATAAGACGACAGATAGTAAGATTTATTGCTCATTACTAACAAGCTAGAGAAGTGAGAAACAAAGGAAAGAAACCAAAAGCACCTTCCCCCCCCCCCATCCACCCTCTTCCACCTCCTCCCCCGAGCGGCGCAGGGGAACGGGGGAATGGGGGTTATGGTCAGTCTACAGTACTTCTTCTCTGCCGCTCCTTCTCGGTCACTCTAGTCCCCTGTGCTGTGGGGTCCCACCCACGGGATGCAGTCCTTGACGAACTGATCCGGCGTGGGCTTCCCACAGGCAGCAGCTCTTCCAGAACTGCTCCAGATATGGGTCCGTACCACGGGGTCCATCCCTCAGGAGAAAACTGCTCCAACCTGGCTCCCCTACGGGCAGCAGCTCCTGCCAGGTCACCTGCTCCTGCGTGGGCTCCTCTCCACGGGCTACAGGTCCGGCCCGGAATCTGCTCCGGCAGGGGTCTTCCACAGGCGGCAGCCTCCGTCGGTGCAGGGCCACCTGCTCCACCGTGGACTCCTCCACGGGCTGCAGCGTGGAACCCTGCTCCACCGTGGTACTCCATGGGCTGCAGGGGGACATCCTGCTTCACCATGGTCCTCGCCACAGGCCGCAGGGGACTTCTGCTCCGGCGCCTGGAGCACCTCTCCCCCTCCTTCTACACTGACCTTGGCACCTGCAAGGCTGTTTCTCACTCCCTTGACTCTCCCGGCTGCTGTGTGGCGCAGCAATTTTTCCCCGTCTTAAATATGCTCTCACAGAGGCGCAAAACAACATCGCTTATTGGCTCAGATCTGGAAAACAACGGGGCCCTTCCCAAACATGGGGCGGCTTCTAGATCTTTCTCACAGAAACCACCCCTATGGCCCCCTGCTACCAAAACCTTGCCACGTAAACCCACTACACTCAGGCAAATACATAAAATAATAAATTGGATTTATTAATATTATTAATAAATAAAATAATAAATTGAATTTACCAATGGCTTGGTTTCGTTCATTGCTGTGTCCCTTTCTGATCGCTTCTCCTTGCAAATCAGTGCCTGACCGGTGACTTTCTTTTATATAATCAGATTCACCTCCACACCCGGTGCTGGCACTCGCTCTGTTTTTAATTAGGAAGCAAAAGCTTATTGCAGACAAGTATTTCTCCAGGACAATCCTCTTGCAAGGCTGCATTTTACACTGTATATAGTTCATCTAGTGGCAATTTAACATTGCCATCAAACATTCATTATAGCATCAGAATGGAATTTGCATCATATCTGTGTGCTTCCTTTACAATGCTACTGCACAAGGATCCAGCAATTAATTCAGCCAGCAGCAGGAGCTCAGACAAGTGCTATCAGCAAGGCAGAGCACCACTGAAGCCTCTCTTTACATGGACTGCATTGCTGTCCACTGAGTAACCACTACAGCAGCCCACAATGAGGGTAAATTAGACATTTTGAGGGCTATTCAGCAGTGTTCCTTTAGCCAGAAAACAAGACAGGCTATTTAACAGAGGTACTTCTGAAATCATGATTCGTCAGAAAGGCACACTGGAGCTAAATTCCCAGTGAGGTCTAGATTTAACTGTGGAATGGGACAAGAACATCTTTGGTCCCATACAAAAGTGTCCTCAGGGTCGTCTTCTGCCTCGGGGTTGAAATCTTGTAGCAGAATTATTTATTAGTACCAGCTAATATTTTTTTTCTAGCATAGATAAGGCAAATCACCACTTACAAACTTCAAAGAAGGCCAAATGGAGGAAGACACCTGTTTTATGCTTATACGACATTTTTGAATGAGGTTGGGGTGAAAGGGAGAAGGAAAGTGGGAGTGAGAAATCATGGATATCACATTAATAATAACATGATAACAATGTTTATTTAGAAATTTTCTATTTCAGTGCTTTTTGACAGAGGTGGGGTTTTCAAATGCTTGTATTATTGTCTTTCTTGGAAAAAGGTTGACATTAAACAGAAAACAAAAAGTTTCTAAAGATCCCCAAATTCTCCAAGAAAATTGAGTTTTTTTTGTTCCCAATTGCTATTTAAATAAGCAGGCTTCCAAACGAGGCTTCACACAGTGTATATCGTTTCTCCTCTGGGCAGCAGGGAAGCTGCTTTCCATTCAGTTTTAGTAATAACCTGAGTTTAAATCTCTTCCTGCAGAATTACAGTGGTGTGTAAGAGGAAGTGTAAGTGGAGTGTAAGAGGAAGAAGAAAACGGCCAAGAATATTTCACCTGTCTGTGAGGACAGGACAAGGGGCAATGGCCACAGAATGCAGCACAGGAAGTTCTGTACCACTATGGTGGAAGGTGATGGAATACTGCACCAGGCTGCTCAGCTACCTTCTCTGCAGTTATTTTTGACTTGTATGGATGCCTCCCTATGCCATTTCATCAAGGGAACCTTTTTTGCCAACGGTATTGAATGCGATGGCCTCTCGAGGTCGCTCCCAAGCCCTAGAATTCTGTTATTTCTTTCTTCTGCATACGCTGTTGCAAAGCAAAGGCAAAACAGTTAGAGCTTACAACACAGTTCTCAATCTGGTAACTAAAGGTAAAAGGAAACCCAAGGCAGCTCCTCATAACAACCACCCTAACAAAGACAACCTCAGAGGTTACGGCAAAGGGAGAAGAGCACAAGGCCAACCGAAAGCAGCTTTTCTTACCGTGTTGCCTTTGCCCAGGGTGTCCTCCTCTTTGCCCGTCTTCCATCTGCCGCTCCCTCTTGCCTCGCCGTTCCACACGATGCCTCCTCCTTCTTCTGCGCTGGCTGCTGCAAACAAAGCACAAGCCATTAGACATGGGTTCGAAGCTCCACCTCCTGTGCCCGACACAAACATGGAACCCAAGACCCTAAGGCAGGGCCCCACTCCACCCACCCCCCAGACAAGGAGAGCCTCAGAGGTCCTCCTCCCCCTTTGCCGTAACAAGGCCAACCGAAAGCAGCTTTTCTTACCGTGTTGTACACGCAGAGGACCTTCATGCGTCGCTGCGGCAGGGCTCCAAGGCTGGCACCAAGGGCAAACGAAAGCTGGGCACACACAGCAACGGCCCAAGAGCCTGGACCACTGGCTTACAGGGGGGCTCCGAGGAGCCATTGACAATTTCAAGTGCCCAGGGAACCAGAGCATCAGCACCCTGAGTTACAGGGCTGCCCTGGGCCCAGAGGCCGCGGGAGGCTCCTTCTCCCCAAAGTGGGGAATCCACAAGCCTGCATCCCGCTAACGGGTCAGGCACCCCACAGCTGCCAGCGGAGCAAAAGGCTCCGGACCAAAGCCTGCTTAAGGCGGGTCCGCAACACCCATGGAACTGCAGAGCTCAACCTTTCCCCCGCCAGTGGAGCCAGACGGCCGAATGCCGAGGCTCGGGCCCCAAGCCCTGCTTACAGGGAGGGTGAAAACCCTGCCCTACTTCTAGTGGCCCCAGGCCCATGGAAAGCGGGGGACACGGAGACCCACCTGGCTACTGGGGGCTCCTTGCAGCGAGAGACACGGGGCTACGCTTGACCCTGCTTACAGGGCGGTACCCCACGCACCAACAATTACAGTGATGCCAGAGACGTCCAGAAGCCGAAACGGCTTCTGCCGAGACCCAATTGGACAACGCACCCCAGCTACGGGGTGCTGAAACACAGCATGCATCAGAATTTATCATTCATCTCCTTTAGAGAATCTGTTTTCACAGTATTCATAGAGGTCATATTATATATATATCGCTTTTATATTGCTTTTTATGCAATAGTTGGCATTATAGCGTAGGCATCAGTCATATACTAAGTTTCCATAGCCCATCACGTTTAGACAAATAGTTTAGACAAAGAGCCAGACGGCTAAAATTAAGGGGGTGGGGAATTGGCTCTGCCCTGACTACAGGGAGGCCCTGGGGTCCGGCAAGCTCCACAGTCCTCCCGGGTGCGGAGAGAGCAGCTGTGCCCCTGATTACAGGGGGCCGCTCCCCCCAGGCAGCCAAAGGAGCAACAAGGCAAAAGGCCGATTACAATCGCAAAGACCCGAGCCCTGCTTACAGGGAGGTCGCCCAGCACAAAACAATCCAGGCACCTCACGTGCCAGCACTGCTCTCCTCTACCTACAGCCCCGCTAACAGGGCGAAGCCTTTGCCCAGGGTGTCCTCCTCTTTGCCCGTCTTCCATCTGCCGCTCGCTCTTGCCTCGCCGTTCCACACGACGCCTCCTCCTTCTTCTGCGCTGGCTGCTGCAAACAAAGCACAAGCCATTAGACATGGCTTCGAAGCTCCTGTGCCCGACAGAAACATGGAACCCAAGACCCTAAGGCAGGGCCCCACTCCACCCACCCCCCAGACAAGGAGAGCCTCAGAGGTCCTCCTCCCCCTTTGCCGTAACAAGGCCAACCGAAAGCAGCTTTTCTTACCGTGTTGTACACGCAGAGGACCTTCATGCGGCGCTGCGGCAGGGCTCCAAGGCTGGCACCAAGGGCAAATGAAAGCTGGGCACACACAGCAACGGCCCAAGAGCCTGGACCCCTGGCTTACAGGGCGGCTCCGAGGAGCCATTGACAATTTCAAGTGCCCAGGGAACCAGAGCATCAGCACCCTGAGTTACAGGGCTGCCCTGGGCCCAGAGGCCGCGGGAGGCTCCTTCTCCCCAAAGTGGGGAACCCACAAGCCTGCATCCCGCTAACGGGTCAGGCACCCCACAGCTGCCAGCGGAGCAAAAGGCTCCGGACCAAAGCCTGCTAAGGCGGGTCCGCAACACCCATGGAACCGCAGAGCTCAACCTTTCCCCCGCCAGTGGAGCCAGACGGCCGAATGCCGAGGCTCGGGCCCCAGGCCCTGCTTACAGGGAGGGTGAAAACCCGGCCCTACTTCTAGAGGCCCCAGGCCCATGGAAAGCGGGGGACACGGAGACCCACCTGGCTACTGGGGGCTCCTTGCAGCGAGAGACACGGGGCTACGCTTGACCCTGCTTACAGGGCGGTACCCCACGCACCATCAATTACAGTGATGCCAGAGACGTCCAGAAGCCGAAACGGCTTCTGCCGAGACCCAATTGGACAACGCACCCCAGCTACGGGGTGCTGAAACACAGCATGCATCAGAATTTATCATTCATCTCCTTTAGAGAATCTGTTTTCACAGTATTCATAGAGGTCATATTATATATATATCGCTTTTATATTGCTTTTTATGCAATAGTTGGCATTATAGCGTAGGCATCAGTCATATACTAAGTTTCCATAGCCCATCACGTTTAGACAAATAGTTTAGACAAAGAGCCAGACGGCTAAAATTAAGGGGGTGGGGAATTGGCTCTGCCCTGACTACAGGGAGGCCCTGGGGTCCGGCAAGCTCCACAGTCCTCCCGGGTGCGGAGAGAGCAGCTGTGCCCCTGATTACAGGGGGCCGCTCCCCCCAGGCAGCCAAAGGAGCAACAAGGCAAAAGGCCGATTACAATCGCAAAGACCCGAGCCCTGCTTACAGGGAGGTCGCCCAGCACAAAACAATCCAGGCACCTCACGTGCCAGCACTGCTCTCCTCTACCTACAGCCCCGCTAACAGGGCGAAGCCTTTGCCCAGGGTGTCCTCCTCTTTGCCCGTCTTCCATCTGCCGCTCCCTCTTGCCTCGCCGTTCCACACGACGCCTCCTCCTTCTTCTGCGCTGGCTGCTGCAAACAAAGCACAAGCCATTAGACATGGCTTCGAAGCTCCACCTCCTGTGCCAGAAAGAAATGGGCAGGACTTTCAAGTTTGTGTTCATTAGGGTGGTTGTTTTGAGGAGCTGCGTTTGGATCCCTGGCTTTGTCTTACCAACACCAACTTAAATCAACTTTTCTCACCATCCTGAGGCACAGAGCTCCTCAAGCTACTTCTGCCGTGCGGCTCCAACCCCGGGTAAGTAGGGTAGGGCGCACACAGAAGCAGCCTGAGCACCTGCACCCTTGCTTACAGAGCGGTCACACAGTAGAAAACCAACCCGGGCACCTAACGTGCCAGCGCTGTTCTGCTTACTGTAGCCCTGCTGACAGGGCAGTGCCTTTACTGTTTCCCCTCTTCAGTCTTCTGGTGGTCTTCTTGTCGCCCATTGTTGCGTCACAGTTCCACATGACACATCTTCTTTCTTGTGCACTGGCTGCTACCAGCTGAAGTCCTTACCTGTTGACAGGGCAGTACCTTTGTCCAGGCTGTTTTTTCCTTCATTCATCATTGCTGCTACTCTCCTCTTCTTACTCATTAATATTGTTCATTCCCTTTGATTTATGTTGTGTTTTTTTTCCCCTAGCACCTGCTGCCAAAGGAACAACATACAGCTTAAATGGAGATTAGTATCTACCAGTATCTGCTCCTAAAGACCAGCTATCTAGCAAATAAAAATTACTACACATTGCATTTTTCTTAGCATTCTTGTTTTTCTTCTTTCATATACTTTTTTTGTTTTTTTGTTTTTTGTTTTTTGTTTTTTTTTTTTTTTACATCATCCATTCCTCCACGCTATCGCTGAGAGTTAGCCAATAGGGACATCTGAACAAGGCTTTCTCCAACTTTCTCACAACCTCATCAGGAGAATTAAAAATAAAGCCTCCATCAACCATCCCACCACACCTACAGACATTGGTTGTATTAGCGCCTACCCAAAAATCCCAAACCGACTCTGTGCTGCCGCCCCTTCCAGTCCCCTCAGCACGGCCCTGCTCACTCACCGCTCGCCCCCCCCTCCATTACCTCAGCCCAGGCGGGCTCCTCAGCACCGTCTCCTCTTCTCCCCACATCCTCCCGTGCAGCCCCCCGACACCGCCCCACCACACTCCCACTCGGTACCGACACCTCACCGCCCCCCGATGGGGCTGCGCACCGCGACCTCCTCAGGAGGACAGGCCGGCAGAGCGCGCACCTGCAGCACCTCCACCGTCCGCTCAGGCACTGACCTGACGGGTTACCTCACAAAGCCTTATATACCCGCCCGGCCCGCCCGCCAGCCAATAGCAACGCGGAACGGCACCCGCCACTTTTGCCTTGGCAATCGCGCTCGCCCATTGGTGGAAATGGGCTCGCGGCCGGCTTTGATTGGTCGAGGCCTCTGAGGGTAACGGCTGTTGCTGGCGGCGCCGACGTGCCCGCGGCCCTGCCCGTCATTCTGTCAATTATGAGGGGGTTGTGTCCGTCACAGCGGCCCGCGCCCTGCGGAGGGGCCCTGGGAAAACCCGTGCGCACCCGGCCAAATAAAAAGCTAAAAACCGCCTGTTTGCAAGTGTTCTGTCCGGGAACATGTTACACATCCCTTTCCAGGAAATAGGTGGCCCCAAATTAATTAAAAATACATATTTTGGTTAATAAATTTTCCACAGAAATTTCTAATATCAGTGTATATCGTTTCTCCTCTGGGCAGCAGGGAAGCTGCTTTCCATTCAGTTTTAGTAATAACCTGAGTTTAAATCTCTTCCTGCAGAATTACAGTGGTGTTTCTATTTGTATTAATGTAATGTCTAGGGACTGCAGTCAAGAACAGGATACCATGAAGTAAAGAAAACCTCAGCCCACAAAAGCTTATGATCAGGACAAAAAAAAAAAAGACCCTTTTAAGTCCATTTTACTGATGTGCCACACAGGGAGTCCATGCTACAGCGAGGAATGAAATCCCCATGGGCTGATCCATGCATTATCTGCTCAACCATGGATCAGTCACAGCCAGCCATGCTGGGCAGGCATTAAAACCCTTGCAAAAAGTGAACTCCCTGGCTCCTGATGCTGTCGGAGCGTACAATTCCTTGGCTTATACAGCCAGAAGTGTCCTCAGCGCCAGTCCAGCACCGTCACCTGCACCTGTGTCAAAGGATGCTGCTGGGGGACAAGGTGGGATTGCCCACCTCTCCTCAGGAACTGTGCCCACTTGTACTCCCAGGCAGCAGCTGTGGGACAGCCACAGGCACCCTGAAGCCATGTGTGGGCATCCCTGACGAGTCACAATTAGCTTTAATTACACCTCTTCATTGGCTGCTGAGCTTTGGAAAAATAACAAGGGGTGCAAGTAATAATCATAATAAAATAAATAAAAAAGGAAGAAATGAAGCTCTTGCAATCCAGGTGAATTTTTCCACGCTGATTGCCAATGCTCAAGGTTCCCAGGGGCCTTTGTTAGCAGAGCAAAACCACCAGACAAAGAAATGGATTGAACAGGGAGACTTTTTGGTCTCTCTTTTAAAATAACCTAGTTAGCATTCAAAATCTGGGACATTTCTACCTCTACTCTGCACCTGTCTTCAACTGAACGGTGCCCATCACAGTTCAATGTTTCTCTACTCCCCTGATGTCTGACACGGGATGTCTGACATCACCTGCTCAACTCCATCTACACTGAAATACTTCAGTACTGAATTTTCTTAAGGTTAATCAGAGTTCATAAACTGTACCTAGACAGGTGCTTCCAAAGCCTCACGGACTTGTCCTTACCTGGCATGAAAAATATTGCATATGGTGAGATGAGTACCCAGCACAAAAGGCACCAACTGGGGAAGAACAGTGGTAATACTATGAAATCGTGCTAACTTTTAGCACTGCATTTTTTATAGTTATCCACAAGAAGCAAATTAACTCACTTTAGTTTCCCAGCAGCCACCCTGAAGGAAAGGAGTGTGCTCCGCAGCCCCAAGAGCTTTGGTATGCATATTTCTGCCCTTCATTCACTTACAAATTGTTATTGACAATCTGCTTCAAACCCGGATTCGCTCTCTAGAGAGCTAAAACAAATGTTTTTAAAACAGCTCCAGCAAATTTTATTTTACTTCAATGTGCACTGATAGCAGTTCCCCTGTCGGGAATCCTGTGGGAATTGAACAGAGCACTTTAGAAGAAAAAGCAGCTGTAAGGAATACCAAATGATTAGAGGAGAAACAGCAGGAGTGGCATAGTGCTCTTCCAGGTCCATACGTATTTTCATAAATAAAACAGAGTTTGGAAAGTCTTCAAAGCACCCTGTGCATTGAAAGTAAATGATTTAGTTTCTTTATTCTCCTTTTGCAGAAAGGCAAAGAGGCAGAGAGGCAAATGGCAAGGTGTTCACCACACCCACACTTAGAGTTTTCCCTTTCTTATTCAGAGGCCTCAGCTTAAGACATCAGGGTCAAATCTGGCTAGCTGTGCTTGGTCATGGCAGGCTACTGCATAATGGCACACAGAGCAGCTGAAGTCACATTAAATGCTTAGCAGCAAATCCATCTACAAGGAGACAGACCTTGTCACCAAAAGAGGTAGAGAGCACAGATCAGGCTGAATCGTGGCTGAGCACAAGATGCTAATTTATACACAAGCTCCAAGTCCCTGGTAATCCAGAAACTTTGTCCTAACTTTAAGCCATGACAAAGAAAAGGCAAAAAACTTGCCCAGTGCCCCACAGTAAATCTATGTCAGATGCAGGTCACAGCTCCCCTTTTTCAGTCTTCTGATAGCTTGCATGCACTGAGACTGCAACAGGTCTTTTGCAAGGAAAAATTCTTCGACAGAAGAAATAAGATAGAAGAATCTGGTACTGTTACTTGTTTGGCACATAGATTAAAAAATAATGCAGACATTTAAGTTCACAAGACACGTTCTGACTAAGCTGCCTTCCTGAGCTTTGAGACTTTTACTCAGGTATTATAAATAATAATAATAAATTACGATTAAAAAGTGCTAGTATGCTTTTTATTTCTAATAGAGGTGGCACAACTTGCAGCCAAAAGACTTCAGAGCAGTCCTCTGCAACGGGACTGAGCAGGAGGTGAGAGAGAAGCCCTGCCAGCTTCCATTCAGATGCGCACGTGGATCCATCTCCACCTCCCTGCAAGCACTCCAGCTGCTCATGGGTGTCCATAAAGAGATGAAGAGAGAATGACAGCCCAAACTGTGACTGGGGAGGGCAAGGGGAAGCTGGACTGGCATTTCGGCCCTCATCTGAGGTCTGGGTTGCTAAATCTAGGGTGTAATATTGGCTGCTGGGCCACAGAGAGAGGAGTTGCTGGGGTTGAGTGGCCTGGGCTCATGGTTTTGTTTCTCTGACCTTGCCCCTGGCGGCACAGCGCTGACCTGGGGAAGATCAGTGTTCTAGGAGCTTGCAGATCTGGAGCTGTGCACAAGATGCTCGCTCCTTGTTTTCCTGTGACAGACTTCATGAGAAGTCTCAGCACCATTTCAAAGTGTGCGGGAAACACTTGTATGAATTACATCCTGGGAAGGAGTTAGATTTTCTTTGTTACCCTTGAGCAAAAACTGTGCATGCTGAAGGAGTTTGCTTTGAAAACCCTCTGCATTTTTGTATTTATTTAACACTGATGCCAGAAAGACAAAGACAAAGAGACACGCCTGACACAGACGGGAACACGGTTGGATTCGTCTGTGGTTCGGGACCAGACCCTAAGAAACCTCTGTCTTGTCCTCAGTGGAGTCAGAAACATTTCATCCTCTGCACTTCTTGCCAGCTTTTCCTCACATCAGAGAAATAAAGCTGTCAGTCAAGATCTTTTTCTTCAGAGATTTCCACACCAGCAGCATGTAATAGAAGAGTACCATAATAAGCCAACCAGCCGTGATGATCCTGATGACTGATATATCACTGCCATTTTACTTTGTTGGTGGCATGGTGCAAAGCAGGAGGTATCTTATCTTAATCTGCTTCCAGTGCCGATCAGATG